ACCGAAACTTGACTTCTGACCCACATCACGACTTGCTCATTTCAGACAGAAGATCAAAAATGCATAATTACTCTTGTGACAAACATTAGCTTGATTTCTACTTTGAATGAGGATTAAAAATCATTTATACTGTTTCACAGTTGATTTAAAATGAGTAGTTCACTTCAATATTTAAAATGGTTTGAACTAAACACACTTTTGATTATCAAGACATTTGTAAAATAGTAATGATAATCAAAAAGAGAGTGTTCTTTCAATTGATCAGTGCAGGATACAATTAGAAAGTCTCTGGATGAGCTTAATTTGTATTTCTGGATACAAATCAATGAAATAACAGTTCCTGTTCCAGGAAGGCCCTCAGGGTCAGGACTTGACCTGAGGCTTAGTTCACTACATATGCATACAAGAGACGTGGTTAAAATCAAATTTGGAATTTGTTATCAAAGGATATAATAGCATAAGAAGAGATAGAAAGGAAGGAAATGGAGGAGGATGTGGAACATTCATAAAACAAGGAATTCAATATCAGATATTAAAAAATAGGAATAGAATTAGAATATGTAATAGTGGAAATATGGGGAGAAGAAGGAAAGTATAAGATAATAAATTTCTATAACCCATGCAGAGCACTGTCACTTGAAGTGATGGAGGATGTGTTGAAATATGTGGATGGGAAAGTGTTGTGGTGTGGGGACTTTAATGCACATAGTACTTTTTGTGGGGAAAGTAATGATAGAAATGGACAAATAATGGAAGAAGTGATGGACACTAAAAACCTTGTATGTATTAATGATGGGAGGGGAACAAGAATAAATGTTAGAACAGGAGCGGAGTCAGCAATTGATCTTACATTTGTCTCTAATTCATTAGCTGGAGTTTGTATGTGGGATGTTGATAAAAGCACGGTAATGGGTAGTGATCATTATCCTATAAAAATTACAATAGGCATAAAACCAGAGCAGAACACAGTAGAAGGAAATAGAAAGTTGCTATTTAATAAAGCAGACTGGAACAAATTCAAATATATTACTGATAAGAGAGTTACAGAAAATTGATCTGTCAACAGACAGTAATAAGGTTAATGTTTGTATATGCAAGATTATACAGGAAGCTACAGAACATTCAATAAAAAAAGCTGGAAGAACGAGCAAAAAGAAGATAGTACCTTGGTGGACAAATGAATGTAACAAAGCCATAAAGACAAGAAATAAAGCATTTAAAGCACTAAAAAGAAATCCTAGTTATCAGAACTTCATCGAATATAAAAGAAAACAAGCAATGGTAAGAAAAATCATCAAGAATGCAAAAAGGGAATATTGGAGAAACTTTTGTAATACTATTGGAAAAGAAACAAAAATTGAAAAAATCTGGAAAATGATAAAAAGAATGAATGGCATCAAAAAAGAATATGGATATCCAGTATTAAATGTAGATGGCACTGCAGTAGTAAATGATAAAGAAAAAGCTGAAATAATAGCAACAACATTTAGTAAAATTCATAGTTCCAATAATATTAGTAATGAAGGAAAGAGAGGGAGGGAAACTACAAAGTTAATATACAAAGATTTAATGAAAAATATGGAAGAAACTGAAAATTTATTGAACGAACCTTTTCAAAAAGCAGAACTAAATCGAGCACTCAGGAAAACAAAACAAACAGCACCTGGAAAAGATCAGATATGGTACACCATGATAGACCAACTTAGTGAAAAATCCAAAGAAACCATTTTAGAACTATACAACAAAGTCTGGGAAGAGGGGGAGCTACCACAAAGCTGGAAAGAATCAGTCATCATACCAATAGCAAAACCAGGAAAGGATCATACAAAGCCAGAAAATTACAGACCAATAGCATTAACATCAAATATATGTAAAATAATGGAAAAAATGATCAATGATAGACTAACATATTATATGAACAGTAAGGGATACATATCTAAATATCAAAGTGGTTTTAGAAAAGGAAGGAGCACTAATGATGCAACATTACAATTAGAACACGAGATCAGGAGAGCACAGATAAATAAAGAAAGTGTGGTTGCTGTATTCTTCGTCATAGAAAAGGCATACGATATGTTATGGGCTGAAGGATTATTAATTAAAATGTACAAACTAGGAATTAATGGAAGAATGTTCAGATGGATACAAAACTTTTTAACAAAAAGATCGATACAAGTAAGAATACAACAAGAATATTCAAAGAAATACTTTGTGGAAAATGGAACACCACAGGGAAGTATTATAAGTCCATTACTATTTTCTATAATGATAAATGATGTTTTTACAGAGATTGAGGAGGGGATGGGATGTTCATTATTTGCAGATGATGGAACCATTTGGAAAAGAGGAAAAAATATAAAATTCACTGTGAAGAAAATACAAGAGGCTATATTAAAATATGAGAAATGGGCAAATGATTGGGGATTCAAATTTTCATTAGATAAAACAAAAGTAATGATATTTACACAGAAAAGAGTCAACAAAGAGATTAAATTGAAATTATATAATCAAGAACTAGAACAAGTTAAGTGGATAAAATATTTGGGTATATGGTTTGATGAGAAAATCTTATGGAATGTACATATACAAAAGATTATTGATAAATGTAAAAAAATCATAAACATTATGAGATGTTTAGCTGGGAATGAATGGGGTGCAGATAGAACGGCATTAAAACAAATATATACGGGACTTATCAGATCAAATATAGATTATGGTTGTGTAATTTATGGATCAGCAGCAAAAACACATTTGGAGAAACTGGACAAAATACAATACCAAGCATTAAGACTGTGCACAGGAGCATTCAAAACCACCCCAGCAGCAGCACTTGGAGTAGAAATGGGAGAAATGCCATTAGCAATAAGACGAGAACAATTAGCAATAAAATACTGGATCAATCTTAAAGGAAATAACCCGGAACACCCAACACTAGATATTTTAAAACCATGCTGGGAGACGGAGAAGAAAGAGACAAGAAGTTTTGGATGGACAATAGACCAGAAAACAAAAGAAATGCAAATAGACAACTTAGACATCAGCCCAGTAGTACCAGTACCAACAATACCACCATGGCTTCTTCCAAATGCAACAGTTGACTTGACACTCATGGACAAGAAAAAAGACAGAAAATTTATTTTTAACTCATATACAGTACAGGACCATATCAATAACTACTATAACTATATACAGATTTATACAGATGCATCAAAAACATCAGAGAAAGTAGGAGTATCATATGTAATACCAGAATTCAACATAGAAGTAAGGAAAAGAATCACAAATGAAGTATCCGTGTACACAGGGGAGATGTTGGCAGTACTGTTGGCAGTGCAGTGGGTAGAAGACACAAGACCGTTAAAAACAATCATCTGTTCAGACTCGAGCTCAACACTTATCAGTTTGCAAAATAGTCATTCAGATAGCCGACCGGACATTTTACTAGAACTACAACAAACATTATTCAGAATACAAATGATGGGACTGACAGTGATATTTTTATGGACACCAGCACATCTAGGGGTCAGAGGGAATGAAGCAGCGGACAGGGCAGCAAAAGCAGCAACAAAAGATCAAATCAATTTTACAATATCCATCAGTAAATCAGAAGTAAGAACCATAGTGAAACAAAAACTAAAGGAAAAATGGCAAAAGCAGTGGGAAGAAGAGCACAAAGGAAGATGGTACTACAGAATTCAGAGACAAGTGGGAGAAATGAGAACAGGAGGGAGGAACAGAAGAGAAGAAAGACTAATATCCAGAGTAAGATTTGGACATACAGGACTTAACAGCACACTACACAAGATTCAGAAACATGATACAGGACAATGTGAGCACTGTGGACAGGAGGAAACAATAGAACATGTCATTTTGGTCTGTCAGAAATATGAACATCACAGAAGGCGTATGATAGAACAATTAGGAAAAATCAAAGAAACATTTAGTATAATAAATATATTGCAAAAGGAAATAAGAAGTAAAAGTATTCAAATCATTATACATTTTTTCAAAAACACAAAATTAGATAAGAGAATATAAACATACAGATATAGCCATTTTGATCCACATTCCATACCAGTAGGTGGCGGTAATGCACACCTTCCGTTGTTTGCCAACCGCCAAAAAATCCCATGAAGAAGAAGAAGCAAGGTGCCAGATTATTGAAAGCCTCACAGCAAGTAAATTATCCAGCAGTCCTCGTCCATAGTTTCTTTGTTCATGACCACAGTTTTGTTCTCGACTCCTCGCCTTGTCTTGCCCTTGTCTGGATACCACGCCTGCAACTTACACGGTACGACCTTGCTCCCCTCTTCGACAACGACCACGGATTCTCCTTTTTGGATCTTTTTGCCTGCTCACACTGGTCCTGGATCTCGACCCCTGCTTCGTCCCTGGATTGTTTCCTGCCTCAGCCCAACTCCTGCCCCAGAAGGTTGGTGACGTGCACACCTCCTCTCTCAGCCCTCAGAATCTCTTCGCAGTCACTAACCTGTCTGTCTTTATAGATTGGACCAGAACCGAGGCCCGAATCCACCAGACGCCGCCTTTGAAAAATAAACATTTTTCAATATATTTCTGAGTCAGGTTTTGTGCTAATCCCTACAGACCCCTTACAGATTCTGCTACATTTTTGCTCTTTCCAGCTTTTTCTACACATTTCAGCAGTTTCTCTTCTGCTTTCTGCTTTCATTTTCCTTCTTTCAGCAAATGTCAGCTGTTCAAATTCATCTCTCATAAACAGTTTAGCGATGACACCTTTTCAGCTTCTTCAGCAGCTTTCAACTAAAATCATTCAGTAATAAGTGTTCACACTGCATTTTCACAGGAGGTGACATGGTTCCAGTTCAATCTGGGTATTTGTTGTAGTTTGTTGGTCAGTCCTTGATCCTGGAGTTGTGGGACTAGATCAGACTTGGACTTTGTGCTGATGCAATAATTAAGAAGAGAGGCAGTAACTATGGTGTAACTTCCAGCTTGTTGCTGGTGTTTTCTTCTGTTAGCAGCCAACAGCCACACACATCTGACTGAAGACAGGCAGAGACAAGGTGAATTCGCCAGCAGGATGGCCTCAGAACCCAACGTGTTCCTGGACTCCTTCTCGTTCCCTGACAGCAGCCTGACGTCGGACACCGTCAGCATGGAGAGCTCCGACAGCTTGGAGACCAGCTTCTCCGCCTGCTCCCCGGACAACATCTCCAGGTTAGACCAGGACCAGACGCAGATAGAAAGTCCTTCAGATGAGTCAGGAGGAGATGGACTGTAACGGCCATGAAGAGAAGTTTAAAAGCTACACGGCACTCTTCAAAAAGTCCGTTATTGTCCAGCACCAAAGGCAAAAAGGATGTGGTGTTTTTGCTCTTACCTATGTGTTTGTGTTTATCATGTTAGCGAAATGTATCATAAATCATTGGGCAAATTTTAATGAAACTCTTAAAAAGTAATCAATGGATGTGATGGATTCATGGAAATTGACCTAAATTGTGGTGTAGTAGCCTGGAGTCATCACTCGCTGTGGCAGCTCCTGCAGAAGGGAGCAGCCAAAAGATCTTTCTAGTTCTTCATTACCCATGATCCACGGACAAGTGTATTCGGTCCTCATTAAAAAAAACATCCTGCTCTTGTGTTCTCTTGTTCATCATCAGCGCCAGCACTTCAAACATGGCAAAGATTGAGGAGATGGAGCGTTTGCTCCGAGAGGCCCAGGCTGAGAAGCAGAGACTCCTGGAGCATCGGGTAAACGAGCCGAGCTGAACCAGGACAACACGTTTGGTTTTGATAACGGATGCCGTTCATTAACGCAGCGGTCGGTCTGCGCAGGAGCGGGAGATGGAGATGCGTCGGCAGGCTCTGGAGGAGGAGCGGAGGAGGAGAGAGGAGCTGGAGAAGCGCCTTCAGGAGGAGACGAGCAGGAGGCAGAGACTTGTGGAAAGGGAGGTGAAGCTCAGGGAGAAACAGAGATCACAGGTAATTAAAAAAATGGTAAATGGACTGTACATAGCACCTGTCTATCTGATCAAGATACTCAAAGCGCTTTACACTACAACCTGTGTCCTCATTTACCCATTCATACAGCACTCTACTAGATCTCTACAAATAATAATCAGTGCATAATCAATGTAAGGAGAAAACCTGCTATTTTTGAAAGAACATGGAGCTCTTTCCTGCTCTTCCCTCAATTAACCCTCTTAAATGCATACTCTTCAACTTCTCAACAGGTTGGATTCTCCTTTTCGCTTCCTCTTTTTTCATATAGATAGATAGATAGATAGATAGATAGCCCAAAGATCTAGGTATTGTAAAGTTTTCTTTTTTTTTTTTATTTTTTTTTATTGTATTTTATTCATTGTATTTCTTCTTCTTTCGGCTGCTCCCTGCGTTAGGGGTCGCCACAGCGAACTAAGTCATACGAAGACTTGCCCTTCCTGATGCAACCGCAGACACCGAGCTACCACAGCCCTCTGTGTGGAGCAGAGAGCTGCATCTAGGACGCCCGGAGGAGCAGATGGTGGGGGTTAAGGGCCGTGCTCAAGGGCCCAGAGTGGGGCAAATGAGTGTGGGGGCAGATGTGGGTGCTTCACCTACCCCACCCACATTTTTGATGTTGTCGATACCGGGGCTTGAATCTGCGATCTTCCGATCACAGGCCCACCTTCTCTAACCTCTGTGCCACTACTCCTTCATTTTATACATTGTATAAAAATGGCAAATGTACTTTGATGCGTTGTCAATAAATAAATCCATTAATTATCTTTTACTCGCTTCTTCCATTTTGGGTCACGGGGGTCTCAGGTGCCCATGTCCAGCAGTCACTGTGCGAGGGGCGGGGGACACCCTGGACAGGTCTCCAGTCCATCACAGGGACACATGGAGACAAACAACCATTCACTCTCTCACTCATACCTAGAGACAATTTAGAGTTACCAATCAGCCTAACATGCATGTTTTTGGTCTGTGGGAGGAAACTGGAGTACCCGGAGAAAACCCACGCATGCACGGAGAGAACATACAAACTCCACCCAGAAAGGTCCCCAGACCAGGATTTGAACAGGGGACCTGCTTGCTGAGAGGCAACAGCTCTACCAGTTGCACCACCATGCTGCCCAATAAATCTTTTTTTTTTTTTTTTTTTTAAGAATAATCAGTGTTATCACATTCAGACACTGATGGGAAACACATCAGAGGTAATGAGGGGTTCAGTGTGTCTTCCCCAGGGACACTTCAACATGTGACTGCTAGTGGAATCGAACCTCAAACTCTTGCAATGGAGGATGACTGCTCTAACCACTCAGCCACAGCCGCCAAAAAATAAACAAATCAGTCAACCTTTTTCCAACTTTCATCACTTCCCTCTGCTTTTTTTCACAGTCCCGGCTGCTGAGTCGCTACCTTCCTGTAAGAAAAGACGACTTCGACCTCCACGGCCACATCGAGGCAGCTGGACACAGCCCGGACGCCTGCTTTCATCTGGCCATCACCGATAAAACCTGCCGAGGGTTCCTGGTCAAAATGGGAGGGAAGATCAAGACGTGGAAAAAACGTTGGTTTGTCTTTGACCAGAACCGCAGGACACTGACGTATTACGCAGGTTTGCCCCTCCGTCAGTCGAGTTCCAGCTGCTGCGGCGCTGCTGCACCTGCGATGTCACTTTGAAGCTGGGTCGGGATACGTGGGCGAGAACGAGCTTTGATCTCAGTTCTGTTTCTGTTCTGCTACAGACAAACATGAGACCAAGATGAAAGGAGTCATTTACTTCCAAGCCATAGAGGAAGTGTACTACGACCATCTGAAGAATGCGCACAAAGTGAGCGAGGCTTTTTTTGTGGGTCTGCGCTTCTTTTCTGCTCATGTTTGGCATGGCCCATGTTAAATATTTCACCTGTTCTTCTCTCTCTCCCAACACTTGCTTCTCTTTATCTCGTCTCCACATCACATCTTTCCAAAATGACCCACAGAGCCCCAATCCTTCTCTGACCTTCAGCGTAAAGACCCACGACCGGGTGTACTACATGGTGGCTCCGGCTCCTGAGGCCATGCGTATCTGGATGGACGTTATCGTAACCGGCGCCGAGGGGCACATGCATTTCATGGTGTAACAGAGCAGGTTCTGTGGTTTTCAGATTAACATTGACACCAACTATTTGAGAACTTCCATCTGATTGGCACTAATCAGAGTCAAACTAACGATTGATTCTGTTTGCAGCTGAACACGACAACATCTCATGGTAACATGCAGTTAAACTAATAAGAATTATCATTCTGGTTCCAAAAATGTTGGGACAATTTGTAAAATGTAAAAAAAAAACATCATGCAATGATCCATAAATCTCATAAACCCTTATTTTTTCCACAATGGAACAGAATAAACGTATGAGATGTTTAAATTTTAAAAATATATTTTTATATTGGGTCAGTTTGAACTTGATGGAAGCAGCACATCTCAGAAACAACAAGACAGGACCATGTTCATGACTGAATCATCCTGTCTTCTTCTTGGTAAATGTTTGGGACCTGAGGAGACCTCTTGTTGGAGGCTTTGGAGGTTAATGTTCTCCCATTCTTGTCTGAGTCAGGATTCTAGCTGTTCAACAGTTTTAGGTCTTCTTTTCCAAATCTTTCTTGTTTTTATTTCTATTTTAGTTTTTGCCTTGTTACCCCTGTCTTTTCATTTTCCGAAAATTGGATTGCTATGTCAAAATCTAAGTTGGCTTCCATCATGCATGCCTCGGAAAATAAGTGAGGTATCAACTTCCATTTTGGTGTGTAGCTGCATCTGTCCCAACTTTTACAGAACTGAATTTGTCTTTTTAGACCAATTCAAATCAAGGTTCTGTGTCCTTCCTGCTCCAAGGTACTTATATTCCAGACTAAAATGTATTCCCTTTTAATGTCAGGCTGTGTAATTCCTCTTTGTATGTGTAGTTGTAATAATGCACCTTTGTTAAAAATCTGATCTCAGTGTTACATTTAACTCATTTTATATGCTGCTTTCAGACCACCAACATAAGCTGATGTTTCTCTTGAATGTCCACCATCATTCAGATAACTTTCTTTACACGTAAATAAAAAAGATTATGTACCGGTAGTCTAACAAGGTTGAGTCAGGTCCTCTAGATGGATTCTTCTTTGTTGAAACGTTTTGTCTTTTATACAAAAAACTTCTTCAGTCTGACTCAGACCAGTGGTCATTTTGTATGTTGTGGGAGTATCAGAAAAAGTGAGACGTTTATTTTCTAAACACAACATCCCAGTGGCTTTTAAACCCCAAAATACATTACTGCAAAGATTGGTTGATCCCAAAGATCCAGTCCCCCAGCACAAACAGAGTAATATTGTGTATGCTGTTCAGTGTCAGGAGGGCTGTGATCAGTCTTACATCGGGGAAACTAAACAGCCACTAGCCAAAAGGATGGACCAGAACAGAAGAGCAACATCATCAGGCCAAGACTGTGGTCTACACTCATCTCCAGGCCAATGGTCACACTTTCAGGGATAAAGACGTTCACATGCTTGATGGAGAGGAACGATGGTTTGAGAGCAGAGTAAAGGAGGCCATCTTTGTGAAAATAATTCATCCACCTTAAAACAGGAACAGAGGCCTCCGTGTTCAACTATAAAGTTCAAGTTCAAGGTTCTTTATTGTTATTCGCATCACATGTGGCACATGAGGTGGAACAACATTGTGTACACAGAGTCCCAGTTACATCCAACAATAGCAACAAAAGACACAGTACTAAGGATCTAGATACAAACCAAGAAATACAATAAACTAAGAAATATGCTAAACACTTAATAGTGCAAAGCAATACGCTGAACAACAGCAGCACAAACATCACCCTCTTACAATGCTGTTATTGCATCACTCAGCCTTCTGTGAATAACAAATGGTAAATGGACTGTACTTATATATCACATTTCTATCTAATCAAGATACTCAAAGTGCTTTACACTACAATCTGTGCCCTCATTTATCCATTCATACATCACTCTACTAGATCTGTACAAATAATCAGTGCTTTATCACATTCATACACCAACGGGACACACATCGGAGGCAACGAGGGGTTCAATGTCTTGCCCAGGGACACTTCAACATGCGATTGCTGGTGGAAACCATACCATACCATACCATACCAATTTATTTATAAAGCACTTTAAACAGTGACAAAGCACACCAAAGTGCTGTACAGGGACAAACAGAACAAGCACATAGCAACAGATTACATAACAGGACACCAAAAAGTAGAAACCGACAAAAACAGTAATGGATAATAACAACAACCGCAACATGACAAACACAGTGTGATGCACACAGACTGAGCACAGATCACACAGTCCAGAAAGCCAGGGAATAGAAGGGTGTTTTTAAGCGAGATTTAAAAACTGTGAGGGAGGGGGCCTGTCTAACCAGCAGAGGTAACTCATTCCAAAGTCTTGGGCCTGCTACAGAGAAGGCCCTGTCACCTCTGCGCTTGAGGCGGGTTCCTGGGACTGTTAGGAGCAACTGGTCTGCTGATCTGAGAGAACGTGGTGGGACATACAGCTGGAGCAGATCAGTAAGATAGGAGGGGGCAGAGCTGTTTTGTGATTTATAGACATACAAGAGTATTTTGAATTTGATTCGAAGGTGAACCGGAAGCCAGTGTAGGGAGGCCAAAACAGGTGTAATGTGCTCCCTTTTGCTTGTGCTGGTCAAAAACCAGGCTGCTGCATTTTGGACCGAAACGAACCCCCAACTCTCATATTGGAGGACGACTGCTCTAACCATTTCAACGAGAAGAAACCATCCAGAGGACCTGACTCAACCTTGTTAGATTTATCTACCTGGATTATTTAGCATGCATCAGGATAAACTACGTAGATTAAAACAGTTGCCTATTAGATGTTTTGGATGAACCCTCATAAAGGCAGGAAACAGCCAGTGGTACTTTGTTTCTGCCATCCTCAGAGCTCCCTGTGTGTGCAGAGGAGGCTGCAGGCCTGACGTGACGCAAACGTTGTGCAGCAGCGATGCAGCACGCTCTGTGTCATCCCCGTGTTCTTCACACTTGAGTGTCACCAGCAGAGGTCCTCAGTGCAGAGCAGCTGCACCACAATGACGTAATGCTCTGACTGATTTATATATAAAAAGATAAACCCCTTTATCCTTCACATTTGTTACGCTTTGACTTTCAATGTGTGCAACTTACAGCACATGCATACCAAGTTTTAAAGTTTCTGGAAGGAATCTTGTTTTGAATGTATGAAATATGTCTTCAGTGTGTTTGTTGAGCCTTAGTGTGAGTATTTGACAGTGAGAGTGGAGCAGCGTGTTCCTCCCACTGGTTGTCTGCTGATGGTTAACAGATCTGGCTGCAGGATGACTCTCATCTTCATGCTGTTATAAACACTTTATAAGCCTTGAAACAAAACAAATGACCACATTCAAACATTTTGAGTACAACCGTTGTTTTATATTTTTTATAGAAACATATTGTGATTTCAGCTGACTTTATATTTCAGGTTTTTATAATTAACTTGAATAAATAATTCTGATGATAAATGTTGTAAAATGCTCTGATTTATTTATTTTTGTTCTGTTTTGAGCACTGACAAGATAATGATAAAAGGTTTTCTTCTAAAGCAAATATGCAAACGCTTTTGTTTGTTGTAGCACTGAAGAGAAGCTTTCCACCTTCCAACATTCCCCCTAAAAGGTTACAAATCGTTAATATCTTACCTGTTGCAGATAGCTTTTTGGATTGAATTGATGAGTAAATGGCTAGTCTGTGTGGGGCTAAGACCAAAGTGCTGCTGTATTAAAACAACCCCAATCTTAAAAATGTTGTGAAAGTTCATAAAACGCTACTTTAAAAACTCTTCCATCCCTTTGAACTTCACAGTAAATGGTTATTAATGCAAAAAAAATATTCCTTTTGGAAATGCTACATCTGTTTGCATTTGCAAATTCAATTCAGTATAAATAATTAAGAGAAACTGACGGGGATGTAAAAGATTTTTAAAATGGTTTTTGCATTAACTGCTGTTAAATCTTTAAGATGACGTTATAAAGTGGTAGCAGACCCCTTTGGTCCTGGTCCCACTCAGACTGGCTGTTATCTTGTTGATCTACTAAGAACTGGAATTTATTTTTGCAAACTTAGATTATTCAAAAAGTTATTTACAACAAGTTAAATATTAAATTCTTACAAACTTTCTACAAACTCTACTTCAAAGGTGTCTGGTTGGGCAGTTCATTCTGACATTTTTCCGTTTTCCATACTGTCATAATCGTCTTTCACTTATTCTGCAAAGCTCAAAATTATCTAAATGACAATTCTGTCCCTCTTAAATTATGATGACATCACTTATAGGTCTGTTTAGAATAAATCTCTCAACAAACTGGATGTCATGCACCACGCTGCAGTCTGTTTTATCTCAGGCCTTAACTCTCACCACTTCTCTGTGTATTCACAGGTTCAATGACCACCGCTCCGTTCTCGCAGGTGGATGAACCCGTTCATTTACAAAACTTTTATCTGCAAAACTCCTTCATGCCTTCGATCAATTCTTAAAACCTCCAACAGAAACCGTGATCTACGTTCCAGTAGATTCATCTCCTCCTTCGTCCCTAAAGCTTGCACTACCTTCAGTCGTGTTTCATTTCAGTTTGCTTTTAATCTGCACGTCCTGTTGTTTTATGTAAAATATTGTGTTGCGTTTTTATAACTTGTACCAGTTTAATCTATGATTTTTAGTGTTACATTTATATTTATGTGATTGCTTTTATCTAGATCTGAACTCTCTTTTTAAGGAGTTTATTATGATTTATAATTACTCCGTAATAAAATCTTGCAGTGCTTCATGTATAACAGGCTGTGGCGACTGTATTATGTGAGGGCATTAAGGCACTCGTGTTTAAATCTCCTCCTCCAGAACCTTTTCATTGGCTGACCCAGTCAGGTTGGCATGGAAACACAAAAGCAAGCGTGCTAAATTAGGTTCTAGAGTCACATTGCTTCTCCAGAGGCACAAACAAATGCAAACTCAGAACAGACCATCGGAAACCTGTGTGCCCTCAGTGCATTTCTGCAGCTATAATTTGTTGAACATACAGAAGTATTTGGGACAGGAGGGGGGTTCACAGAGAACTGGACCAAAACTCAGAATGTAGTCTGAAGCAGCTCAGGGAGAGTGGTGCAAAAGATTAGCATGTTGTGCTCACAGTTATTAAATGATCCCTTACAGGCATCACAGAGAAATCATGTGGGCAGTTCTGAACAAAAGGCAGCATTCACCTAATATTTGTTCCTTTAATAACTCTGGAAACAGCAGTTTTCTCTAAACACCACCAGAGACAGACACACAGAGCCAGACCTGATTATTAGCCAAATCCCCATTGTAGTTTGCATTAATGTACATCTACAATCTGTTTTACATTATTTTTTTCTAAGGGAGCTCCAACTAGTTGGAACAATAGATCTTATTAGAAAAACAGTACTTCAGCTATAAAAACAAGACAGAAAAATACTGTAAGTTTTTATCATTTTTAAAAGAAGAATGACAAACAGATGTCAACATCTTATTTACACTGCAGTGTATTCTGGGTAAATAACGTAGAC